AAATGTATTACTTAACTGACCATTTTAAAAATGTTTTATTTTTCAGAATTAGAATTAATGGACGGGAGATTTTTCATACACGTGTCATTCAATGGCCTTGCAATAATAATTATTATCTTCAATATCTAGTTAAATATGAAGTTATCCATTCAATAAATCAGGATCTTTAAATAAATCATTTTTAAACAAGTTGGAAGTTACAGGGTATTCAATGAATCGATCAATATTTTAAATGACTGAGTTATGAGAATGTTCAAACTATTTTTTTCAATAAAACAAAATAGCTGACTCGTTAACATTTTCTTTGATTTAAATCGATTATAATTTCTGTACAATAGATATTACATTAAAATTAACCTTAATTATGATAGAACTTTTTATCAAAAATAAAGAAAAATCCTTGTAGAAATGGTAGTTAGCGGCAAATTCGCATGGATAAACCCCAAAGTATTCATGCTAAAATACAGAAGCCATGTATTATATCACGTATTCCACCAAATTGGGGCGATTTCAAACGACTGATCAGTACGAAATTAGTTGCTTGACATGATATGTAATTCTTATATATATGCTGTGTTCTCGTAGATGGATCGGCACATATATATATATATATATATTGTAACGGGGGGGGGGGGTTCTGACAAAATGGAAAATTTATTTAAGCACAAACTCCCACGATGCAGAGCTAACCGTCGCTCTGTTAAACACGTATAGTTGTACGTGTATCCACCTTTACGTCAGATGATTTCGTTTAAGTGTCTTTCCAGTTGAGTTGAACTCACCTTAAGTCACTTGACTTGTGACACTTAGGATGTATCTTAGGTGTGAGTGGCTTTATGCCTAATCCGTTAATCCCCTAGATGAAATCGGATTAAAGCCTAAGCCTTTATAAATCGCTTAAGCTAATAGGAAATGAAATGACGTAATCGGCGAATGAAATTAACTAACTTTAATTAATAAAAACTACAGTCTTTTATAGGCCGAAAGACTAACGCACACAAATAGGATTTACAATGAATTATTATTATTCGGTGAGAAAGAGAGAGAAAGAGAGAGAGAAAATTCGAAAATTACCGCGAAACTAACGCTTGGCGCGAATACAAAAAAATTCGATATCGCGGTTGACAAAATACTTTCAAATGCATTTTATCACACCATAATAAAGGGAGATGAACTTAAATTGCATTGCAATTACGGTGATCAGTCGTAATTGTTGATGAAGAAAATCAACTACGGATGCTCCTCCAATTAATCATCTGCGCTGCCTCGCTCTCCTATCAGCTACAATTTGCTGCTTCTGCACTGCTGCTGCTTTTTGCCGCGGTAATGCCGTTGCACTCTCATACGTAAAATTGTCCCAAAAAAACTTTATAATCGACGAAACACAGTGCAAACTAATTTGGCGGGATTGTCGCGTAAACAGCTGAGGCGTAACTGTCTATTTCCAATGCTCGCACGCCCCCTCTCTCTCTTAATTGTTCGAACTAACGCGCGAGTAACAGCATCACGAACGGATCGATTAATTGAATTGACTACCGTTGCAATATATATATATATATACAGGGTATCTCAGACCTCCCGTCCACCCCCCAAAGTATGCCGAAAAAGTTTTTTTTTTCAAAAATTGATAACGCAATTATATATAAATCGAGTACGCTCTATCGATTGAACGTAAAATCAACGTCCGGTTCCAACCGGAAATGGCCTATTCAGACCGGAAGTGCATGAAAATCCATTTTTTTAAATGAAACATGCATACTTTTTTTTCAGATTCAGATTCTACGGTAAAAAATACGAAAATTTCATAAGGAGAATTTTTTGAAAAAAGTTGATATTTGACCTCTAATTGACGTCTGAAGTCTGTAATCCACCAGTTCGTACTCAAGCTGCGAATATGCACGTTTTAACAATGGAATAGGATAATGTGACTCCTCTAAGAGGTTTTCGGGGTCGCTGAGTCCGAATCCAAGGTGAGTTTGATCTTATCAGGTCATTTTGAGGTCAATTCAAGGTCATTTAGAGGTAAAACAAAAAAAATATTAGATTTATCAAGAATGAAGTACTTTTAAAATTTTACCCTTAATATTACAAAAATATGAATCTCGTCGTTTTTTCATTTATTCTTGTTATTATAAATCTATGTATTTACATAGCGTACTTTTATGAAATTAGGGGAAATGAAATTCCAAAACAAATTAGTTTAGCGAGATAAAAATCTTTATTCTCAAAACATAATAGATTTCGTTGCAGTAGCAAAATTTATTTATAATAACATAAATAATGATAATTAGTTTTATTAGAACCTAACATAATGAAAATTTTTATAACATAATTAGATTTTATCTTCTATTGTTCTGTAAATAAAATTTTTTTACGAATAACGCTGAAATAACTGTGCGAAAATAGATGGTGAAGATTTGACAAAAACTTTAATGTTCAAAATGCGCTCCGCTTTGAAAAATACATGATTGAACTCTTCTTTGGAAATTATCAACAGCTCTTCTCATTTCTGCTGCCTGCAGCGACCGAATTGCATCCGTGATTCTGCCAATCATATTGGCTCTCGTTGTCAGACGTTCTTGGTAAACTATGTCCTTTACTCTTCCCCACAAATAGTAATCCAGAACAGTCAGATCTGGGGATCGAGGTGGATAATTGACAGGACCAAACCTTCCAATCCACCTATTGGGGAACATATGTTTTAAACTATTTCGGCAGATATGTGCCGTATGTGCAGGATATGCATCTTGCTGAAACCACATGTTACGCCGTAACTGCAGCGGGAGGTTTTCCAAGAGAACAGGTAACTCATTTTCAATGAGATTCACGTATCTGAATCGATTTAGATTCTCATTAAAAAAAATTGGACCTACTATTTGGTTATCAATAATTCCGCACCAGCAGCGGCAAATGATCCTGCTTGAAAGTAAACTTATAACATGTCGTGTGCTTCTTCATTAGAGTAAACCATATTTGCAACTTGTTTCTTTTAACTGTGTGTGAAAAAATGATCATACAATTAGTTTTAAAATCGATATTAAATGCGCGTTTAATTGAATCAACAAACATTTTCAGTCGAAACCTATCTTAGCAAAAATTGATGAGCCTGTATGCCGCCCTACATGTCAAGAGGAAATGTACTAAATATGATAATAAATTACGTAGGCATTAAAAAATCAGCATACTTTATCGAATGTTATGTATTTCAAATAGTAGGTCCAATTTTTTTTAATGAGAATCTAAATCGATTCAGATACGTGAATCTCATTGAAAATGAGTTACCTGTTCTCTTGGAAAACCTCCCGCTGCAGTTACGGCGTAACATGTGGTTTCAGCAAGATGCATATCCTGCACATACGGCACATATCTGCCGAAATAGTTTAAATCATATGTTCCCCAATAGATGGATTGGAAGGTTTGGTCCTGTCAATTATCCACCTCGATCCCCAGATCTGACTGTTCTGGATTACTATTTGTGGGGAAGAGTAAAGGACATAGTTTACCAAGAACGTCTGACAACGAGAGCCAATATGATTGGCAGAATCACGGATGCAATTCGGTCGCTGCAGGCAGCAGAAATGAGAAGAGCTGTTGATAATTTCCAAAGAAGAGTTCAATCATGTATTTTTCAAGGCGGAGCGCATTTTGAACATTAAAGTTTTTGTCAAATCTTCACCATCTATTTTCGCACAGTTATTTCAGCGTTATTTGTAAAAAAATTTTATTTACAGAACAATAGAAGATAAAATCTAATTATGTTATAAAAATTTTCATTATGTTAGGTTCTAATAAAATTAATTATCATTATTTATGTTATTATAAATAAATTTTGCTACTGCAACGAAATCTATTATGTTTTGAGAATAAAGATTTTTATCTCGCTAAACTAATTTGTTTTGGAATTTCATTTCCCCTAATTTCATAAAAGTACGCTATGTAAATACATAGATTTATAATAACAAGAATAAATGAAAAAACGACGAGATTCATATTTTTGTAATATTAAGGGTAAAATTTTAAAAGTACTTCATTCTTGATAAATCTAATATTTTTTTTGTTTTACCTCTAAATGACCTTGAATTGACCTCAAAAGGACCTGATAAGATCAAACTCACCTTGGATTCGGACTCAGCGACCCCGAAAACCTCTTAGAGGAGTCACATTATCCTATTCCATTGTTAAAACGTGCATATTCGTAGCTTGAGTACGAACTGGTGGATTACAGACTTCAGACGTCAATTTGAGGTCAAATATCAACTTTTTTCAAAAAATTCTCCTTATGAAATTTTCGTATTTTTTACCGTAGAATCTGAATCTGAAAAAAAAGTACGCATGTTTCATTTAAAAAAATGGATTTTCATGCACTTCCGGTCTGAATAGGCCATTTCCGGTTGGAACCGGACGTTGATTTTACGTCCAATCGATAGAGCGTACTCGATTTATATATAATTGCGTTATCAATTTTTGAAAAAAAAAACTTTTTCGGCATACAGTCGGACCTCTGCTACTGCACGCTCTCGGGAGTTGGTGCCCTCTGCCACTGCCCGCTACGGGCTCTCTGGCGTTAGCCAATAAGAGCGCTCCGTCAGGTACGGGCATTGAGTGGCGTGCCGCGCTGGTCTCGAGGGGGGCCCGGAGAAAATGTTACAAATTTTGCTTGCATTATCACCTGATAATTTTGTTTTATAATATACACAGTAAATCATTTTACTCGAATGGTGTGATACAACTTACCCCAAAAAAAAAAGTGTAGTGAAAGAAAACAAAATTATGTACTGTTTATAATTTAGAAAAATATCAGGTGATAATGCATGTTTGTAGATACATACATAAAGTTTAAATTTTTCAAATTTTCCGTTAAAAGAAACATTATAAATAAATTTAACTATGCTTTATTTTATCAAAATCATGTACATTATACAAAATCAACATAAAAAATTAACAAAAAATCAACAAATATATTCAACGTACAAAATCAACATACACATTCAGCATACAAATTACATTGGTTTGTATATATTTAGTATTAAATCGGCGACTTCTTGCACATTGCTTATCTGCGCGCTCGTCGAATCCCACGTTCGCTCTAAGAATGTTCGAAGCTTCAGAGCCGCATCGTAGGCCTCTCCAACGGAAACTTCTTTCTCTGGTTCTATATTTTCGACTTCTGCGATCGGCTCCTCGTCTTCTTCAGCGAACTTCTCCGGATTATTAGACGTGATTCTGAAATAATAGATAAAAAAAATATATTAATACAATGTTTTTTGAGTACATATTTGTTTCTATGAACACATGTAAATTACATATAAATAATTACATAAAACTTTTACAATACCTTTCAAAAATTTCTTGGATGTTCAAATTTTGCCAGCCATTATCCGTGTAATCTTCCTCGATCCATGCTTGGGCCATCTCGAATGTGTAGTCGGCGAAGGCTGGGCTATCCTTAAGAAGTTGTAACAACAAGTTAACTTCTTCAGCCGATGCTCTTTTTTCGTAGGGAGAATCGTCCTTGCCCAAAATTCTGTTCCATGCGTTGCGGAGATCTCTGGCGTTGATAACATCCCACGAACTAGAAATTCGGTAGCAGCAGTCCTTCACCGTCTGCTTCTTTGCCAAATCGATGACGCTTGCTCCCGATGTTGCTTCTTCTAGAACTAGCGCTTTAACTAAATTTTTCCGGAACATTTTTTTCATTTTTTCAATGACGCCCTGATCCATTGGCTGAATCAAAGCGGTGACGTTCGGCGGCAGGAACATCACTTCAACGTTCTCAGCGATGCAATTTAATTCAGCTGCTGCGGGGTGCGACGGCGCATTGTCCAACAGGAGAAGAATTTTCTGATGCGGCGGATGATGCGCTCGGACCTCCTTGACGAAAATATTCTCGAACCAGTCCAAGAATATGTTCCGATCCATCCAAGCTGAACGGCTGTTCGTGTATTTGACGGGCAGTTTCTCTCTCTCGCACTTCGAAAAACATCTGGGATTTTTCGACTTGCCGATGAGTAGAGGAGTGATTTTATGCGATCCGGACGCATTGGCGCAGCACATCACAGTCACTCGTTCTTTCTGCTCCTTCAATCCCGACGGATGCCGCTCGTATCCCGCCGCTAGAGTTTTCTTCGGCAAGGACTTGAAAAATAAGCCCGTCTCATCGGCGTTGTAGACCTCATCCTCGGTGTATCCTTTCTCTTTCAAGTAAGAATGCAGCGCCTCTTTGAAATTCTCTGCTGCTACGTTGTCGGATGATAACTTATCTCCTTGCATAGATAAATGCCGAATCTGGTAGCGCTTCTTGAATTTCTCTAGCCATCCATTGCTGGCCTTGAAATCGGCCGCTGCCCCAACGAACTTGTTGAGCTCCAAGGCCTTAGCTTTCAGAACATCGCCCGAGATTGGAGCCCCCGATGAACGTTGCTGCTTGAACCACTCGTACAGCGCCATGTCGCGAGGATTCTCTTCGACGTGGATCCTCTTGCATTCCTTATTCTGCTGGCTGTCATCCAATTCCAGGGCGCGCTTCATAATTTCTGGCTTCTGCGACTTCACTCTTCTGATCGTCGTCGGGTCAACGCCGTAGAGCTGGGCCAAACTCTGCGTTGTTTTGCCGGCGTCCAGAGCTGCGACGATAGCGGCTTTTTGCTGCACTGTCAAGTTGACCTGCCGTTTTCTGGTCCCCGGAGATTGTTCCTCCAAAGACAAGTCCAAGCCCTGGCTCAATCTCTTGATAGTGTGCGGAGAAACGCTGTATTCCTTGGCAAGATGAACCATCTTGACATTGTTGGACAGCTTCTGCTTTATTTCAGCTACTTGACACAGGTTCAAACTCTTGGCTGCCATGATCTGAAAAATTATTGTACAAATTCAAATGAATGAAACAAATATATAAAAAATTGACGCAAATATTAATAAGAATCGAAAAATATAATAAAAGAAGCTAACTGACAATTGATTGGCAGCGTTTTTTTTCTTATTTAAAAAAATTAAAAAAGTTTTCTTATTTTATTTTATAGACTAAATATAAAAGATATAGTGTAAAAATAGACTTGTAAACTTACCAGTTGATCTTGAAAACTTCTTGAAAACCAGTTCATTTTAAAAACACAATCAAAACGTACACTCGATTGAACAAAATTGTTTTGGACACTGAGAGATACGTAAACTGGAGAAAAGGACGAGGGTGTTGCATCGAAAGTCGAATACAGACTGAAGTCAAAGCCCGTCTTTAGATACATATCTCCCCCCACAAATTACAAGAGTCATAAAATACAAGGAGTGTAAATCATAAGTCACAAATTACAAGTCATTAAGAGTCATCTTGAAGAGCGACGCGTCGGCGCCAGACTCATAAAAGTGCGCCGCCGGCAGGTGCCAGGTAAGCGACCGAGAGCGCACGGCACTGCGCTCGAGTCATAAATCGGGCAGTGAGAGAGGCTAGATAACGGGCAGTGGCAGAGGTCGGGCAGTTGCGGAGGGTGCAGTAGCAGAGGTTCGACTGTACTTTGGGGGGTGGACGGGAGGTCTGAGATACCCTGTATATATGGGACGATCCATGTCAACCGGATCACTGCTGTGTCCAAAATTTGATGTGACCAAAAAAATCGTGCAACGACTCATTTTAAAGCTTAGGATATCTACTTTCTGATGCTGTGTGCGCCTTTGCAAAATCCAACATGGCGGCTCCAATATGGCGGCTACAAGAGACAAACTCGTAAACAAAAAATTTTATTTTTCAAATTTTTAGTAATAAATGTTAAAAAAATTAACATTTCATATTTTTTTATGAAAATCTGGCTCATTTCCTACAAAAAAGTAACAGAGACCATTTTCGCTAAAATGAAAAATAAAAAAGTGTAACGGGGGGATAAATCTACAAAATGAGAAATTTATTTAAGAGCAAACTCCCACGATGCAGAGCAAACCGCCGCTCCGTTAACACGTATGTTAATACGTGTATTCGCTTTAACGTCAGCTGACTTAACTTAGTTGTCTTCGATCAAGCAGAGTTGAACCCACCTTAAGTCACGTGTCTTGTGATACTCGATGAGTTTTAAGTGTAGGCGACTTTACTCCTAATCCACTTAATCCCCTAGCTGTAATCGGATTAAACCTAAGCCTTTTTCAATTGCTTAAACTACTAGGAAAATCATATGACGAAATCGGCGAATAAGTTTAACAGATTTTATTAACAAAAAATCACTACAGTCTTTGTCGGGCCGAAAGACTGACGCACGCGAATAGGATTTACAATTAAATAACTTTCGGTGAGAAAGAGAGAGAGAGAAGATTCGAATATTGGCGCGCTCTAACGCTCGGCGCGAACACAAAAAACCAACGCTAACTCGGTTGGACAAAATACCAAATGTATTTTGTCACGCGATAATTAAGGGAGGTGCACCTACCCTGCAGTGCAATTACGGTGATCAGCCGTAATTGTTGAAGCAAATTAAAGGTGCTCCTCAAATCAGAATCAGCTGTGCTGCTTCGATCGCAAATCTGCTGTATAATAGCTGTTGCTTTTGCTGCTGCTTCCGTGATGCTGCTACTGTCGCTGCTTCCTCGCTCACCCTTGCACACGTATCCAAAATCCAAGTAAACTTTTTTATTGGCAAATCGGTGAAACACTGTGCTAAACTATTTTGGCGGTACTACACAAGTAACAGCTGAGGCTTAACTGCTAATTCAGAAGATCGCGCGCCCCCTCTCTCTCTCAATACTTAGAACTAACGCGCGAAAATCAGAATCGCGAACGGTTCGATTAATTGAATCGACTACTGTTGCAAAAGTTATAAATTTTTGAAAATTTCCAAAAATAAAAAACTTTGCGATTTTTTTACTCAGAAGGAAATGACTTTGGAAAAAAAATTTAAGGAACAAAATTGCTTGAAATTCATCAAAACACAAGTGTGAATTTTTTCCAATTCCTTTGAGCGATTTTTTGCTTTTTGGATTTATCGGATTGTTTGAAAAATTAAAAAACTTCACAAGATCTTTTACAAAAATTCATACGTAGTCTACGACTAATTCTAAGAGCTTTTTATTTTATAAGATTGTTCAGTAAAATAAATCCAAAAAGCAAAAAATCGCTCAAAGGAATTCGAAAAAATTCACACTTGTGTTTTGATGAATTTCAAGCAATTTTGTTCCTTAAATTTTTTTTCCAAAGTCATTTCCTTCTGAGTAAAAAAAATCGCAAAGTTTTTTATTTTTGAAAATTTTCAAAAATTTATAACTTTTTTATTTTTCATTTTAGCGAAAATGGTCTCTGTTACTTTTTTGTAGGAAATGAGCCAGATTTTCATAAAAAAATATGAAATATTAATTTTTTTAACATTTATTACTAAAAATTTGAAAAATAAAATTTTTTGTTTACGAGTTTGTCTCTTGTAGCCGCCATATTGGAGCTGCCATGTTGGATTTTGCAAAGGCGCACACAGCATCAGAAAGTAGATATCCTAAGCTTTAAAATGAGTCGTTGCACGATTTTTTTGGTCACATCAAATTTTGGACACAGCAGTGATCCGGTTGACATGGATCGTCCCATATATATAATATAACAGCAGTATTCTCTAGTGAGTATATTGTCTTTGTTTCAGAGTATTGTAATAATTCTATTAATTTATTTGCGCATTCATTAGTTTATTTTTCTTTAGTCTGGTGTTGGCGATGGATGTCTTAAGAAATTTGGTGACAAGTTTATTTTGATGGATTTAAAGTCTGGAGTTATATTTTGTGTAGAATTTTCTAATTTCTTCTTTAAATGTAGGAATTCGTAAATCATTTCGGATTATTTCATTCGATAGCAATCAAGGGGTCCGTACTATATTGCGTAGAACTTTCGGATGAAATCTTTCCAGGATTCTGATATTCGAGTTACAAGCAGTACCTCATAGTTGAGTGCCATATGTCCAGACTGGTTTAAGTACAGCTTTATAAAGCAGCAGTTTATTTTCAATTGACAGCTGCGATTTTGTTACAATGAGCCAGTACATTTTCCTCTACTTTAGAAGCAACTGTTAACGTTTAGTAAATACATGTTCTTTTCATGTAAGTCTTCGGTTTAGGTAAATACCTAGATATTTCAATTTTATGCTTTGCCAAATATATTTATGGTTTAATATAATAGGAGGATAGATATCTTCGAAATATGATGTCGTATATATTGATTTTCTTTCATTTATTATTATTCTCCAGGAGTTAATCCAATTTTGAAGGTGATTTTTATGTACTACTGTGGGCAAAAAGTAAGGTGAATTTGTTTGTAAAATGAAAAATCTTTATTTATTCTTCTACATCAATGTCATCCCCTTCGAAGTAATCCCCTCCCGATAAAATACACTTATGCCAACGTTTTTTCCAATCCTCGAAACATGCCAAATAGTCCCTTTCCGGTATAGCCATCAGCGCCTTCTTCGATTCAGCTCTTAACTCCTCAATCGACTCGAAACGCGTTCCCCGGAGTGGTCTCTTGAGTTTTGGGAATAGCCAGAAGTCACACGGAGCCAAATCAGGCGAATACGGTGGTTGCGGAACGATATGCGTCGAATTTTTGGCGAAATGGTCACGAAGAACGAGTGCAGTGTGAGATGGTGCATTATCGTGATGCAAAAACCAAGAGTTGTTGGCCCATAATTCTGGTCTTTTTAGACGAATTGCTTCACGCAAACGACGCATAACGCTCAAATAATATTCCTTCTTAACAGTTTGGCCGGGTGGAAGGAATTCATAGTGCACCACACCACGAAAATCGAAGAAAACTGTCATCATGACCTTGATTTTTGAACGACTTTGACGTGCTCTTTTCGGTCTGGCCTCGCCTTTAGCACGATATTCGCTTGATTGGTCGGTTGTTTCAGGGTCGTAAGCATAAATCCAAGTCTCATCTCCCGTAATCATGCATTTGAGCTTGTCCTGATAGTCAGAAAGCATTGTTTCACACACATCAACGCGGCGACTTTTTTGCAAGAAATTGAGCGTTTTCGGTACCAAACGAGATTTGACTTTTCGTAGGCCCAAATGGTCTTTCAAAATTGTTTTCACAGATCCTTCTGATATTCCGATCATATCAGTAAGGTCTCTAACAGTCAACCGACGATTTTCGAGCACTAATTCCTTCACTTTATTGACGTGTTGGTCATCTGTTGACGTCGATGGTCGTCCGGAGCGCTCCAAGTCATCAACACGTTCTCGACCCTCTTTGAAGTCTTTGTACCACTTATAAACATTTTTCTGCGACATGGTAGAATCACCAAAGGCCTTCCGCAACATCCTCAACGTTTCCGCAGCCGAAATTTCATTCTGCAAACAAAATTTGATGGCACTTCTTTGCTCAATTAAATCAGACATTGTAAAAATCGAAACATGCACTCTTGGTCGTTTGGTAAACACAAGCGTAAATATATTACTGATGATGACATTGACATGAAATTTGTCCCAGATGTCATTCGCAGTCCTACCAACTCAAGAAAAAAAGAACTAGCCCGAAATGTTAAGCCCGCGAAGTTTAAATTGAAAATTCACCTTACTTTTTGCCCACAGTAGTAGTTTTGTAATGTTTTGGTTGCCATTGTTACTTGTGGTTGTACTGTTAAAATTGCTATATCATCTGCATATGTTGCTGTCACGATATTAATAGACTTTGGTAATTTCGAGGCGTATAACAGATATAGAGATGGACCTAGAACACTATTCGGTGGTACTACTGTTTTTATTAACTGATGTTTTGATAGGTTTTTATTGATTTTAACTTGATAGGTTCTATTGCGTAAATAAGATTGTAACAATTCGTAGTAGTGTCGAGGAAAAAATCTCTTTAGCCTGTCTTCTTTATGTCAAACCTTGTTAAAACCCTTGTCAAAAAACATCCAGGAATATACCAGTGGAGTAATGTTTATCTTCGATGGCTTTCCTGGCAACATATACTATTCTGTTTACTTGCTCAATCGTGGTGTGGTTACACCTGAAACCGAATTGATGGTCAGGGATAGTATTCTATTTAGTATTAGTAGGTTCATTCAGTTAGATTAGTTTTTCAAAAATTACGGAAAGTGCTAATAAAAGACTAATTGGTCTATATAAAGTTACCAGTTCTGGT